ATGTCCTTGAGTTACTAGGGAAGAACACAAGGCCCCACAGGAACTGAGTTCTTCTCCCACCCTATCTCTCTCACCTTCCCTCCTCTAAAGCTCCCATTCCCTCCATATGTCTATATCTCCTCACATCCTCATAGGAACTGACTCCATCTTCCTCTCCATTCCTACTCCTCTATCCCCTACACCTCCCTGTTCCAGCTTTATACAAAGGCACTTCTGCTCCCTCTCCATCCACATTCCTGCCACCTGCCTATGACTCTCTGGTCCATCTTACATCAACTAATAATGGCTCCCTCTCCTTCTCAACATTCAGCCAACATGAAATGACCCCTTTTACTGTCCATCTCCCCACACTCATATACTTTTCTACCATACCCACAGGAACTAACCTCCACTCTTTCCCCTCAACTACACCTGCATATTTCTCTCTGGTCAAGCTCCATATGAAGGTAACTTTCATCCCTCTTCCTCTCCCTTACCCTCCCCCTCCCCCCATGAAGATCTCTGGTTCATCCTGTCTTAAACAGATGTCTGTGTTCTCTGTGTCAAAATCCCACCCCCATCCCACAACAGCTCTCTGCTCAGGCTGAACATGAACTAACACCTGCTCTTTCCTCTTCCCCATCACGCCCAAAGCCCCTACAGCTCTGGTTCACCTGCACATGATCTAACCTTTGCCTCCCCTTTTCTCCCCCTCCTCCCAATCACTCTTTTCTGCCCACATGAATGACTTCAGTCTCTCTACCTCTCAGTCCCATCTCACTCCCAAGTATCTTGCTGATCCATCCTCAATTGAACTAAACTCTTCTACCTCCCCACTCTACACCCCCTACATCTCGCTGGTCTACCCACAGATGCTGCTCCCTATTCCCTCTCTCTCTCTCTCTCTGACCATCTCATCCACCTCTTCCAGCACTGTAAATAATCCCCATAAGCTGATCTGACCTGCCTTTTTCTCCCTAACCATCCCCACATCCCACTCCAGATTTCACCCAATCACTCCACCTACATCTCCCTGGTCCAGTCCCATAGAAACTAACCTCTTATATTTCTCTTCCCACCCCCAATCTCTCCAACATCTCTTGGTCCAGCCCCACAAGAGAGAACCTCTGCCCCACTCCCCACATCACCCTCCACTCACTCTACAACTCTCTGAATCATCTTCACCTGCAGTGACATCTCCTACCATTCCTTTTCCAACCCTCTCATCCCCTCCATCTATCTGGTCTAGGCCCACACAAACTGACCCCAGCCTTCTCTCTATCTACATACTCACACCCCCTTGCAGTTCTCTTTTCTTTTTTTTAAATATATTTTATTGATTATGCTATTACAGTTGTCCCATTTCCCCCCCTTCACTCCCCTCCATCCTGTACACCCTCTCCCACCCATATCCCCCCCTTTAGTCATGTCCATGTGTCATACTTATAATTTCTTTAGCTTCTACATTTCCCATACTATTCTTACCCTCCCCCTATCTATTTTCAACCTACATTCTATGCTACTTATTCTCTGTACCTTTTTCCCCTCTCTCCTCCTCCCACTCCCCTGTTGCTAACCCTCCATGTGATCTCCATTTCTGTGGTTCTGTTCCTGTTCTAGTTGTTTGCTTAGTTTCTTTTGGTTTTGCTTTAGGTGTGGTTGTTAATAGTTGTGAGTTTGCTGTCCTTTTACTATACATGTTTTTTCTTTATCTTCTTTTCTTAGATGAGTCCCTTTAACATTTCATAAAATAAGGACTTGGTGATGATGAGCTCCCTTAACTTGACCTTATCTGAGAAGCACTTTATCTGCCCTTCCATTCTAAATGAGAGCTTTGCTGGATAGAGCAATCTGGGATGTAGGTCCTTGTCTTTCATGACTTGGAATATTTCTTTCCAGCCCCTTCTTGCCTGTAAGGTCTCTTTTGAGAAATCAGCTGACAGTCTGATGGGAACTCCTTTGTAGGTTACTGTCCCCTTATCTCTTGCTGCTTCTAGGATTCTCTCCTTCATTTTTACCTTGGCTAATGTCATTATGATGTGCCTTGGTGTGTTTATTCTTGGGTCCAACTTCTTTGGGGCTCTCTGAGTTTCCTGAATTTCTTGGAAGTCTATTTCCTTTGCCAGAGTGGGGAAGTTCTCCTTTATTATTAGTTCAACTACATGCTCAATCTGTTGCTTTTCCTCTTCCCCTTCTGGTACCCCTATAATTCGGCTGTTGGAATGTTTAAAGATGTCCTAGAGGTTCCTAAGCTTATCCTCGTTGTTTTGAATTCTTATTTCTTCATTCTTTCCTGCTTGGTTGTTTTTTTCTTCCTTCTGGTCCACTCTATTGTTTTGAGTCCCAGTTTCCTTCCCTTCTTCACTATTGGTTCTCTGTGCATCTTCCTTCATCTCTTTTATGGTAACTGCATTTTATCATCTAATTTGCGCCCAAAATCAACCAATTCTGTGAGCTTCCTGATCACCAGTGTTTTGAACTGTGCATCTGATAGATTGGCTATCTCTTCATTGCTCAAGAGGATGAGTCCTGGGGGACTGATCTGTTCTTCTGTTGGAGACATGTCTCTCTCTCTCTCTCCCTTTTCTTTTTTTCAGTCTGGTCGCTCTTGTTATGGTGAGGGGCGAAGCCTTAGGTGTTCACCTGGGCTGGGCACCCCAGTCGCTAGATTATGACATTGTATGTGGGGGCAGGGGCAGGAGTGGGAGGGACAATGGTAGTCGCTCCGTTCTCCTGGGATATCAGTCCCTTCTCTGGGATCCTGGGTTGCGCGCTCTGCCCTGGTCCACAATGCCACCTCACTGGGTCCGCCAGCCACCGCTTGCGTACTCAGGGTCCACTGCTGCATCCTGGAAGGCTTACTCACTCCCGGTTGCCTTATGCGCCCAGTTCTCCCCGATCTCTGCACGCTGCGACCTGCGCCTACACCTCCTCTCAGCCCCTCCTACCGGTCTGGATGAATGGGTCTACTTCAACTTCTTGGCTGTCCAACTTCCATTCAGATAAACTCTTTATCAGTTCTGGGTGTTATTCTGGCTCTAAATGTTGCTGTTCTAATCTTGGTTGTGCGTGGAGGTACGGTGTGTCCACCTATGCCTCCATCTTGCCATAGTTCTCTTTTCTGCCGCCACATGAACAGGCCCCGGCTTCCTTCCTGTCTCCATCTTCCTGAACCCACTGTGACTCTCTGCTCCTTCCCCTCATCTACTGATTCTGTATCCCCATCCCCTACACTGAGCAACTGCCAACCTATCTTAGAATGGCTGCTGGGCACAGATATGGCCATCAGCTCTTGCTAATTTTTATCCTCAGGGATAAGATGTTAGTTGTCACTCTCCCTTCTCTGAAGTGATTCCTGGCTTTCAGTTATGCAAACATCAACCAGAAAACATGTTTCCAGGGTGACAGTCAACAGTAAAATGGGAAGTAGGGCCCAGTCTTTTCACTCCTTTCCAATATTGTCTGTCTGATCAGATCGTATGCCTCTTAGTAGAAAATAGCAATGTGACAAAGGTCAAATCCTCCCAAGAAATGCTGTCAACTCAACTTTGGGGACAGTAATCATAAATGCTTCATGGACACACCTTTAACAACAAAGCTTAGGTGACAACCATACCAAAGGAACGATAGAGAAAACAAACACTTTGAAATGCCTCCTTCTTAGACACTGTGAAGCCAGGTCCTTTATGCATATTTTCATTGGACCCCCAGTGATTCTAAATTAAGCACAACTCTTGTCGCCATTGCACAGACAAGGAACCCAAGGCACCCACCCAGACAGGTGGCTTGCTCCAAATTACCCAGCCAGGAAATGGTGGAGCCTGTGTGAGAACCAAGTTCTGAGGCTACTCTGGGCTCTCCCTCCCACATACCCCAGTGTTTCTCAAAGAGCAGTCCCTGTGCAGGAGACTCGTGGCTGAGGGGGGTGGGGAGTGCAGTCCTCCAGGATGCCAGTGTTCAGGGACTGAGGCCCAGGGTCATGCCCCTTTAACATGCTCCCCACCTAGGGTTGCTGGCTGAAATATAGGACACCCAGGTAAAGTGGAATTTCAGATCAATAATGAATAAATCAACAGAAAAGTCCAAATGGTATATACTTGTATTAAAAAAATTTTGTTGATTTGAAATTCAAATTGACTTAGTTTTTTTTTAATTAGCTAAACCAGGTGACCCTACCTCAGTTTGGACTAGGATGCCACCTCAGTTTAAAACCCATTCTCTCTCTACGCTGTATGAGTAAAGGAGCATTACATCCTTGTCTGTTTTCCATCACCCCCGCCTATTCATGCTCCCCATCCTCAGCCTGGAGCAGAAAGCTTATTGGCATCTGCCAGGGCTTCTGTTATAGATCATCCTGTGTAGGACCAGGAAGGAGCTGAACAAGGTCACCCAGCTCAATCTGATGCCAATATTCTGAGGCACTAACCAGCAAATAAACAAGAGGTTGGCTGAAATAAGCCAACTGTCATAATAACCTGGCTTTCCCCTATTTATCCAAGCACAAATTACCAATGACTCTTCTTTGGCCTTATACTTTGTCAAAACTATATTTAGAGCATCATTTAGGTTTATGTGAAATGGATTCTTCTAGTTTGCACACCGATAGGTTCCCAAGGCAAAAAATAAAAATTCATGCCAATAACAAAGGATTATTTCATTTTCTGTCCACAGGCTGGTAAGGAGTTTGGGATCTACCAGGCTGCCTTCAATACAATGGTTTGCAACAGCAGTCTCCAATCTTTTTGGCACCAGGGACCGGTTGTGTCAGGAGATTGAGCTCAGAGGAACTTCCCTTGCTTGTTTGGCTGCTCACCTCCTGCTATAGAGGGTGCTGATAGCAGAGACAGGAGGTAGAACTGCAAGAGGGCCAGGAGGTGAAGCTCAGGCAAGCTTCACTGGAACCCAGTTCTTAATGGGCCATGGACCAAACAATTACTGGTCCATGGCCTGGGGTTTGGGAACCACTGATTTATAAGATTAATTCATAGTCAAGTCTAAAGAACTCATCCTTAGAAAAAAGCTCAAAATAAGAAATGTTTTATTCTTAAGACCAAACAAATAATAAAAGCATATCCAAATGCAAGTGAGAAAGTTCACTAGATTTTTTTTTAAAACAGAAAGCTGTCCTCAAGTGTCAGTGAAAACCAGAACAATCCAAGAGATGCCCACGGCTGTGGTAGCATAGGTACAACATGTGCTTGTCTAGGAAGTCCTTCTGTGGTGGCATAAATGTGGGAATGCATGACAAGTGAAGCACTACAAGGCAGAACAGCAAGTGGGTGAGAACTTTCAGACCCTTTACTCTAATGTTCTTTGGTTCTGCCTTGAGGAGTTAAAGTAAGCAACATGTCACCTCACAAAGAACTCTACTATCAAAGAACACGTGCAAAAGTCTAAACAGATTTGAGGTTGTTACTAAAGTCATACAGGGAGGTCAGTGGGGAAAAATAGTTTGTGTTCTCAAAAACCAAGTTTTACACAATGGCAGGCACTAAATCTAGTGATGTGTGCTTGCACTAGAAGAGAATAATCTTAATAAAGGCTGGTCTTTTTCATGATGCGTAGGAACTCTTGCTCATTGACTTCTCCATCTCCATCTCGATCAGCTTCATCAATCATTTCCTGCATGATAGTAAGGATTCAGGTTAGATTAATGAAACTAAAATGTGACCAAGCAACAGGCTTTTATATGCTACATAAATAGACAATTGTACTCCACCCAATGCAAATGTGCTGCTTTTTACAATTGCTTGATTCCTGAAAAGTTATCTGAAATCTAAGTCATACTTTGTCACACATCACCTACAAGGGAGCTTGAGGGGGGATGCCTAAAACCTAAAATTGTAGGTAAAACTGTCCATGTTTGTATTTTTCTGGGATCAGGGTTCATAGCTTTATCACATTATCCAAAAGAAATTAAGTGGTTAGCAGAGGGACAAAAGCACTAGTTTTCCTTCAAAGCTGTGTACATATCAGAGAAAATGTAACACAGAAAAGTCACCCAGGGCTCCAAGCAGGAATTCTGGGTTTCAGTATAATATATTACAAACCTGCAGCTCCTCATCAGTGAGGTTCTCACCCAACTCCTTGGCCACACGTTTTAGATTGTTGAACGATATTGTCCCAGTTTCATCATCATCAAAGAGCTTGAAAGCCTTCAGGATTTCTTCTTTGGTATCTTTCTCAGACTTAACAAGTAGAACATAAAACACACAAGTAGGGAAACACTGCAGTTACTCATGTCCTATAGCCCCACTATTGCCTAACCCCTCTGCCCTGTCCCTACATCATTGCATGGTCTCGGTGATAGCCTTCATGACATAGGTCCTAGGTCACAGGGAATCAAGCATCATCCAGTGTAGAAAAAAAGAACAAACTCAATGACATTATACAAACCCAAAGGCTAAAAAGGAACTTGATAAAGTACTGCACTTAAAACATCTTTTCTGTACAAACCAGAAAAACTGGACTTGTTTTTAAAATATAGAAGGAGAGGGGTGGAGTTAAAATTAGGGGAAATATAGCTGCTTAAGTTGGTGTTAGTCCACAAAGAAAAATATAGGTATGATTAGATTATTTCAAAGCAACAGGATTATTAGAGCATGAATAGACCTATGCCTTGGAACACACACCTGAGATGCTAATGGAGATACTGTTCCACAGACCAGTGGAGTGCAGATGAGCCACACTAAGGAGGAGCAAGGATGCCAAAGAAAGAGCAATGGTCCAATGGGAACATACTTCCTGAGTGGGATGACACTCAGGGAAGTGAGGTGGGGTGACATATTATGGTCTCCCTTGATCCTTCAGACCCTTTAAAAGAGTGACATTTGAGAGACTAGAAAATGGGTGAGTTAAGCCCTGGAAGTGCTAACAGGCCAAATCCCCAGTGCAAAGCACAACTGCTAAAGCAACAGATCCTCAGGCTAAGGCTACCCAGAATAACAACTGGGGAAAGAAGAATTTCCAACTTTAAAGTATAGGGAATTCATCTTGTCAAAATGCAAGACACTGTAATATCGTTGGTGTTTATATGGTGTTTATAGGTTTTACTGCTCTTGATTATCACATTGACATATCAGTTAGAGAAGGAGAATAGTTAAAAAGTGATAACAGTAGTACTTTCACTACTTAACAGAGGGTAAAATGACTTCCTGTGACTTTGTGCCTTGAAGAAAGCCAAGTAAAACTTAAGCGCCCTAATTCTGTCACCAATATTATGCTTTATCAGCCGAACTCTCCAGTCTATATTAATGTTTCTTCAATGAAGACATATTCATATCCATATTCAAATTTGTCCATTTTGGGTAGAAAATATGCTGATTATCTTACCATTTTCTGAGTCATCACAGTCAAAAAGTCATTAAAGTTCATTTTTCCTGTCCCTTCCTTATCAATTTCAGTTATCATTTTCTTAATCTCTTCTTTCTTGGGTTCAAAGCCCAGTGCCCTCATTGCCACCTACAATAAAAACAGGATCAGTCATCTCAATGTGCACATCTAAGTAGAGCAAGAGCAAAAATGACAGTGAGAACATTAAGCCAGCATCTGAAATAGTCATGTTAAAATGATTGGGAAACACTATAACATTAAACACATTGATATTTGCACTCATTTTATTTAATAATACGTGCGGTAAATAAAGCTAGGAAAACAGCACAGTGCCTTCTTCCCTTGTCACATTTTCCAGGGAGGAGAGGACAAAAGGCTGGAGTGGTGACAGGAAGAGGAGACAAAGAGGCAAAGGAAAGGCAAGGCAGCAGAGTAGGAATGTACAGGGCTTGCCTTAAGTTCCTTAACATCGATAGTCCCAGTTGCATCAGTATCGAAGAGATCAAAAGCTTGCCGGATTTCCTGTACCTGCTCCGCAGTAAGCTCAGGCTTAGGACTCACTCTTTTTCGCTGGGCATTTGATGCCATGTTTGCCTTCTTAAAGTTAGAGGCCTTTAGACGTTTTACAAACACATAAGCACAATATTATGCAATATAGTCCATATTTGACATATAATAAAGACAACCATATCTGTTTTTAAAATACTTTATACTAACCTATCCCAGAGCTTTGCTTAACTGTAGAGATAATTAGAGTTTACTGGGAAGGACAATGAATCTTTGCATGCACCTCTTTCCCTCCCTCTTTTTAAACTAGTTTGTAGAAGCAAGGAGATTCCTTGTCCTTTTGGACATCCCTTATTGGAAATCATCCCAAAAGACAGCTAGTTAGCTAAGGAGTAGATAATAAGCTCTCCCTGAATTTGAGGATCCTAGTTCTAGAGATGTCCTTACAATGCCCACTCGCGGTACTCCACTTCCCTCTAAGTACTCTTTCTGATTACTTCCGATTTGGCCAAATATAAATCAGTTGTTAGGATGTATATTCTGTCAATACTGAATAATAAAATGCAATTCCCTAGGTACATCCATCCGTGCCTTCCCCAAGAAGCTCAAAGCGTCTCCTGAATGGCCCTATATTTAAATTTTAAAATACACGTTAACAAACGTCATCAACCTCCCCCAGCATTGTGCAGAAACTTTGATAGAGCTTGGCGGCCAGAAGGCCAAGGTCTGAGAAGGATGGGGCCTTTGGGGAACCCGAGTCTTCTTTACCCTGGTACAGGTCACCCAGAGGGCCTGGGGAGCCAAAGGGCGGGTAGGAGCCGGCTGTGGGTTAAGGGGAGCCAGCCGCAAATCACAGGCCCAGCACAGTGGCTGTCGTCTCTTCCTTGACCACGGGAGAAAAATGTCAGAGAAAGGAGGGGCGTGCCAAAGCCGAGAACGGCGCGAGGAAGACTTCGGGAAGGTCGAGGATTGAGAAGGGCTCAGCCTCAGGGCAAGGGGTGCAACAAGAGGGCAGGCACTCACCATCGCAAAGACTCAGCTACCCGTTGTTACGGCAACCGTTGTACATACTAACTCGGCGCAGTTCCCAGGGTCCAGAGCGCGCCGCCCTGCTCCTCATTGGTGATCCGCTCGCCGCTACCGCCTCTCGCCACTGGCGCAGGGATAGAATGGGTGGGACTAACCCAGCAAAGGCCCTGCCCAAGGCCGGTGGCGGCACGCTGCCTGAGGAGCTCTGGCCTCATCAGGCGGGATCACGCCACAAGCGCTGATTGGCTGAGCCCGCGCCAAACCCTGCCCGTCGGAGTGTTGGAGGAGCTTCCCCTGAGCCTGGGCTTGCTGCTGGCTTCAAGAAAAACTTGGCGGCCAGCGACTGGAGCTTAGTGGGTGCGACCTGCAATCGTGGTGAAACCGGCAAGGGGGACATCTGCGTACAGGTAAGGGTCGCGACCTCTCCCCCTTGGAGGCTGCCTTGTGTTGGCAACTGGACGGGAATGCGAGGGGCTGGGTGGGGCGGTCAGGGTCGGAGCTTTTTGGTCTGGCCTAAGACTGAGTTAGGGTCGGTGGGCCCCAAACGGATTAGAGAACCTTAAGTGTTGAAGTGGAGACCACTCATAGGGAAACTTAGACCCAGTGAAGGTAAGGGACATGCTGAGCATTGTCGCACAGGTTCGGGCCCCTAGGATTTAGAAGCCGAATCCAGCTGAGGCTTTCTTCGAAGGTGTCCCTTTGAGAGCATTCCCTCCCCTCACCAGGTTCCAAGAGAGACTCACTTGAGTTCATCCCTGGTGAAAAGCAGCCCAGGAAGCTAGCTGCGGGCCTGGCAATGGACTTTGAAGGGAGTGAAGGAGATATGAGCGAGCATAAGAGGGAGAGGTCATCACAATACACTCTTTTTGACATCCAAATACTTAAAGGCGGATAGGGAGGAGCATTCCAAGCCTAGACGCCCTCATAAATAAAGCCTCAGAGGAGTTTTGGAAGTGTGAGGCATGCTTGGAGAATTATAAGGGGGCATCTGCAAGGGTTTGGGCTGAAAAGGAGCTGCAGCAGTGGAACTGGAAGTCCAACCTCGGCCTTCCTCAACCAGCCTCGTGTTAAGAGCTCTATGTGACTTTCAGCCCATACCTGCTTCCCCTCTGGACATTGGACACATTGGAGTAGATTTTAGGGAGACAGGGGTTAGAGCAGAAGTTTCTCAGGCTGAGAAAGGCCTGAGGTTTATTAGCATTCCTTAAATGAAAGTGTTCACCGAACTTGTGCCCTTTACCCCCTTCCCCTCTGAGCATGAGCCAGGTCCAAATCTTTGGGTCATACATTTTTTTTCCTGTCCCCTCCGCATTAACCAGCCTCCAAGTTCTATCAGTTCTCCCCCTTAGATGCCATTTCTTTTCTTCTTTTCCACCTCTGGTGCTCCACTCCCAATGTGAGCCTTCATCACCAACCTCCCAAATAGTCCAAGTCCAGGTTCTCGCCTTGGTAGGCAAGGCCTGGCATGACATGTCCTCTCCTCTCCCCAGACCCTCCAGCCCTGGGACACTGGTTTCCTTACTGGGCCTCAAAAGCACAGGCACACTCCTACCTTAGAACTTTTGCTGTAGCTGTTCTTTCTGCCTCCTTGGTCCACTTCTCCCCACTCCCATCTTTGCTTTATTGTTACCTTCTTAATGAATCACCCTAAGTACGCTGTTTAGCACTGCAGCCCCCAGCACACCCAAACCCCGCAGCCGGCTCTACTTTTTTCCCCATAGTACTTCCACTTTCTAACCTGTAGTATATTTTACTTATTTGGTTTTTTATTTCTCATCCAGCAGAAGGTTAGTTCTATGAGGGCAGAAGTCTTTGTTTTGTTCACTGCTGGCACTCCAGTGCCTGCAACAGTGAGGGACCCATATTAGGTGCTCAGTAAATCTTGGTTGAAACACTGGTGAGTAATCCTTCTGTTTGCTGCTCCTTACCTATTTAATCCACCCTGTTCTACCAGGTTATTTTTCCCCATGAACAGCTCTGGCCAGATCACCTCCATGCTTTTAAACTCTCAATGGTTCACTTGACTACAGAGTGAAGTCCAAACTCAGCCTGGCATCTGAGCCTCCTGCCCTGCATCTGCTAGTCTTTCTTACTTCCTGTCCCTCCACACCTTCCCAGTCAGTCTGTAGGTGGCAGCCTGGCAGAGTAGAAGCAACAACTACAAGTTCTGCCTTGATTGTGTACCAGATGTGTGACTTTGGGCAGGTCACTTGACTTCTCTGAGCCTCAGTTTCTCATCTGTTGAATAAGACCAGTACTGTCTCCCTAACTGGATGCTTTTTGGGTCTTATTGGTATAATATATGTAAAAGGATCTGACATTTAGCAGGTCTTCGGGTAATATTAGTTTTTTTTTTTTTTCTCTCTGATTTGCTCTTGTCATTCCACCTACCTGGCATACTCGGAACCATAGACTTAGCTAAAATTTCTCCACACTGCAGCCAGAGTGATCTTTCTGATGTTAACATTCACCCTTGCTTACAGCATCCAGGAGCTCACTCCCCCATCTTCTCCTAGGGTAACTCTTTAACTTGATAAACAGCCTGTGCGTGCTCTCAGTTTTGCTCCCAGTCTTGCTTCACACTCAACATGACACAACTTGTCATAGTCTCCAGAACATACTGGCTCTGTACTGTCACCTCGTCATTGTCACCCTGGGACTTGAAATGTCTTTTAGGACACTTTCCCTCTCCACTTAACTCACTCCTCCAGGGCCTTGAGAACTCAGCTCAGGGATTGCCTTCTAAACCAGGCTCCCTGCTCTGGGTTTTACCCTCAGCAGAGTTCAAAGGCACTTCTACAATGCTCTCCTAGGTCTGTCTCAACACAAAGTAATGGGCTCTTTGTCTTGTGCAGGTTTTGCCTGGCAGCAGCCAGCATATAGTGCCTTGTGAATGATGGAATGTAGGGATGAGTGAGCTGACACGCCTGGCTACTCCCTTATAAGCTGCAATGCCCTTTTTACACCTGGGACTTATTTGGGCCCCACAGAAGCTCTGAGGTCAGCAGGCAGATTGCTGCCCTACAGGTGAGGTCTCAGACCAGCTGCAGCAGCACAGTTCAACCTAGACTCCATTCCAGGCCCTTTGCTGGCCCTCCAGGGGCTCACAGCCTAGTTGGCCAAGACAGACGTGGGCGGAGGAGTATAAACCAGTGTGCATAGTGATAGATGGAAGCAGACACAAGTGCTAAGGAAGCAGCTAACCTTTCTGGGAGAGGAGGAAGGGGTTTCACAGAGTAGATAGTTGAGCTAGGCCTTGAAGGATGAGGAGGAACTCACCATGGAGCAGAGAGGAAACAGCATACACTAAAGCTCACAGGCATGCTGATGAGTTTCTCAGTGACCACCACAAGTTCAAAGCCAGGGCGTTTGTATGTACTAAAAGTAAATAGATAAGCAAAGAGACGAATGACAGTAACATACAGATACCTTAGGTCTGTGAGAGAATAAGAAGAGAACACTCATCTTTCTCTATCTGGTTTGAAATGGACAGACAATTCATTCCTTTTCTCTCCAGGGCTCAGTAGTGCGGAACTTTCCCCAGCAGGAAGGAGGAAACCAGGTTCATTCACTACCCTCTTTATTAAATCCTGTCAGCAGCCCTTCTCCTCTTGCCCAGAAGTTGAGTGAAGCTCTTGTATTTCACCAGGAGCAGGTAGCTCTCTTTTCCTAGATTCTTTTCAGCCTAAGACTTTGTCCCAGTGTGCATAACAGGGCATACATACTGGTTTTTAATGGATTTGAAGATATACTATTTTAAAGGAGAAAGACTTAAGGCTTCTGATTAGTGAACCTTAACAATTGCAACACAGTATAATGATCAACGCAAGAGAAATAGAGAGTAGCTGAAGTATGTGAGTGCCATGGGAAAAGCTACAATGCCAAAGACATTCTTTTTGATGTGACTGATGAATGAGGTTACTTAACTGGCCTCCCATTCTGCCTCTAGTTCAAGTATACAGTGAGTTATGAGCCCAGTTATTACCTTCTCTAAGAGAGCAGCCTGCATCACAGGAATGGAAGCTGAGGGCTCCAGCCAACAGCTACTCTAAAGTTCAGCTCTTTGTGAAAACTCAATGAGGGGTGGCATACACACAAAATACTAACAGCTAAAACATGTTTATGTTTAACTATGTCTTTCAGAAAAGAAGGGTTGATGGCAAACAGGACCATATTTGGAGCTGAAATGGAAGAAGCATTTGGCAAGCCAATGAGAGACCAGGTCACAGGGTCACATTTGACAGAAGACAGTCCAAAAGTAAGTACTGACACAAAAAAGGTTAGCCAAAACCAGAGAAGGGGAAAGTCAAGCACATATGTATCAGCAAGCTATTCATAGTTAGCTGTGGGTTAAACATTATATTTGGTACATTTATTAAATCAATTAATGTTGAATATTGTTTTTCTATATAAGATATATATCTTTAAGGTATCAGGTACTGCTTTGTAACAGTGTCAGTGGTTTAAAACAACACCCATTTCTTCGTTCATGATTCTGTGGTTTGGGCTGGGCCCAGCTAGGGGGATCCATGGCTGGTCTCCCCTGGACTCACTCCCAAAGCTGCAGCCATGGGGACCCCCTGAGTTATATGTTCCAGGTAGCCTAACATGCCTGGTAGTAACTGCTAGCTATCAGCCGGGTGCCTCAGTTTGCCATCACATGGCCCCAGCATGCTAAACTGGGCTTCTGAGTGGAATGGCAGAAGCCTTACCCAGGGTCAACAGGGGCAGTAGCAAAGCCTCCTGGAGATTTTTCAGTTCACTTTTAATGAATGATAATACTTCAGAAATGTAATCATGCCAAGGTAAAATGTGTTTATATCGAATGTTAATAAAGGAAAACTCCCCAGGAAGGTCTCATGGGCCACTGCATTACCCTGGTTTGGGTGTGGAACTCAGAGTAAAGCCTTCTTTGTGCTCCTGTAGTTGAAGGTTAATCTTGCATTCTAGTGTTCAGACAAGCCAGCAGAGCCATTTGCCAGCTACAGTTTCTTGTATGTATAAATTAGGATTTTACTGGTATTCAGCAACCAAAAAAAAAAGTCTAGATTCCAATGGTTGTATCAAATGTTGTTCTTTCTCATTGATTAACTTTACTTTATAGTAAGTAGAAGCTATACATTT